TTTGTTTCTGGTGTCCTTTCGACAGCTCTTTGGTCTTCACCATAGTGGAGTTTGGAGTGTGACTGTTTGAGGTTGTGGACAGGTGTCTTTTATACTGATAACAAGTTCAAAACAGGTGCCATTGATACAGGTAATGAGTGCAGGACAGAGGAGCCTCTTAAAGAAGAAGGTACAGGTCTGTGAGAGCCAGAAATGTTGCTTGTTTGTAGGTGACCAAATACTTATTTTCCACCATAATTTGCAAATAAATTCTTTTCCAAATCAGCCAATGTGATTGTCTGGATTTTTTTTCTCATTTTGTCTCTCATAGCTGAGGTCTACCTATGATGCCAATTACAGGCCTCTCTCATCTTTTTACGTGGGAGAACTTGCACAATTGGTGGCTGACTAAATACTTTTTTTTGCCCCACTGTATATACACACATACACCTATACGTACAATAACATTAAAATAATATGAAATATTTTGTTACATATACATACATACATAACATAATTGATTGATGGGTAAAAAAAAAAAAAAAACATTTAACAAAGTTTAAAAAAAAATATTGGTGTATGGTTGGAACACCCTCCAATTGGACATAAGCTGAGCCAGCAGGGACACAAACATTATTGATGTAAAATAAAAATGACAATATAAAAAAAAATGTGTATAATGTGCAAAAGAGTTATTTTTTTTTATACAAATATGTATAATGCAAAATAAAAAAGAGGGAGAACTTGCACAGTTGGTGGCTGGCTAAATACGTTTTTGCCCCACTGTATATATATATAATATATATATACAGTGGGGCAAAAACGTATATATATATATATAATATATATGTTTTTGTTTTTTTTTTTTCTTCTTCTCATTCTTTTATCATATTTTATTATTTCATTATGGTTTAATTTTTTCCAATTGATTTTTTGCAGTTTGGGTTCACGTTGACGTCATGAACCATTTGCCCCTTTTTACATGTTTACATTTTTGTATTAACAATTCATTTATATTATATTAATTGATTTATATCTTAATTAATCTTTTTTTCATCTTTATCATCAATATACTATAAATGTATGCCACTCTATCCTAACACACACAATTTTCCTTTCAACACTTTTCTCTTTAGGCATTATATACATTTATTTACATTATTTATTTTATTGTTAGATCTCATTCATTGATAAATAGTGCACTTTTAGCACCATCAAGCTAGTCCCATTCCCTCTCCTTCCGCCCTCATTTTGACACTTGTCTTCGGCAAGTGTCTGGTGGCTCGGCACCCCCGGCATCATGCGTGGTTCCGTGTGTCATGCGGCGCGCATGGGTCTGTTTGCATGGCGCAGGCACGTCTTACAAACATGCTGTCATTCACGTTCACACTAACCAGCCGCGCTGGTTGATCATTATTTATCATACAATATACATCATATACATTTATTAAATGGTTACTCCATCCATCCAACCACCACTATGCACCTGTACTACACATAGTTCATTATGTTACAGCATCATTGCTGTCCTTCTATGAGGAGAGTTTCTATTGAGATGTGGACTGTTCATCTGGAGGCATGTTTTACTCTCTTTGGGGGCACATGTGAGTACACTTCTGGCACATTATACAGACCAATTTGCTTGTTAGTGTTTTGTTTGGTTATTTATGCGGTCTCTGTGTAGAATGTAGATGTATTTGTGTAGGTGTGTCTATGTGTATGTATATGTGTGTCTATGTGTACTTGTATATGTGTGTATGTATATATATGTATACATATTTGCATGCACTTCATTGGCCTTTCTGTGCATATATATGTATTTTTTTTTTTTTGTGTGTGTGTGGCAGGTCAGCCTTTTCTGTGATTGGGCTGTTTGATTGGGTGGGAGTTCTATTTTTTTCCCTTCTCTGTGGCATTCTTTGGTATATAAGCTCGGGACCAGCAGGCATTTAGACATTTTAGCTCTGACGAAGGAGGTTCGTCTCCCCGAAACGCGTCATCTTATCCCTATCAAGGGCACAGCATTATTGACTGTCTTTGCTGGGACTACATCATTTGCTTTTAATTTCCTTTGGTTTGTGGGTATATATCTATTTGTCTACACAATAAATACGTGGTGTTACCACGGTAATGCACGATCAGAGTGCGCCCTTGTCTGCTTTTTGTTCACCATGCAGTTTGTGTAACAGTTGCTGTCTTACAGTGAAACATTTGTGCACTCAGTCCCTTGTCACTGGGCATTATTCCCTTTCTGTGTTAGTTAGTTCGATTTCACACTATGCATTCTAATTAACTGTCAGTCCCCTGTCACTGATTATCTGTCCCCTGTCACTGGCCCATTCTGATCTGTTCAGCCCCCTGCCACTGTGCAACCTGAACTGCTAGTTTCCATGTCACTATGTGCATTCTGATCTGTCAGTCATGTGTCACTGTATATTCTACTTGGTCCCCCCTGCCACTGTGCATTCTGACCTGTCAGTCCCCTGTCACTGAGTAATTTGATTCCCACACTCTTGTCACTGTGCATAATGCTTTATCTTCCGACCCCTATCACTTAACATTGTGTCCTGTATGTCCCCCATCTCTAAAGCATTTAGACCTTTTATTCCCTTGTTACTAAGCATTCTGGGTCTGGGGTCCCCCATAGCATTGCATTCTGTATCATTAGTCTGCTGTAGCTTCACTTCTTTTTGATGTTTACCTGTTGCTACAATTTCCCTGCTGTCCACCTCCTGCTCCGTACCATTTATACTGAAACAAGCAGATTTGGAAGTTGTTGCTTTGCATTCTGCTGTCATTTTCATGCCATTAATGACTCCAATAATTGTTAAAAGTCAATGACTGCACATTCCATGTATAAATATAATTAACAGTTTTGCATCCTGTGCTGTGAGAGTTTCCGTCATTATATATACAGTATGTATATATAGTATGTGTGTATATATACAATATTTATCTATTATTATATATCTATATATACAGTTGCATCAGAAAAAGTATGTGAACCCCTTGGGATTACATGGAGTTTTGCATGAATTGGGCATAAAATGTGCTCTGAACGTCATCTAAGTCACAACAATAGAAGAACACAGTCTGCTGAACATAAAACTACACAAACATTAGATGTTGCCATGGTTTCATTGCACATACCATGTAAACATTCACAGTGCAGGGAAGAAAAAGTAATGTGAGGCCCTAGCTTAATGACTTCTCCCAGAGCTAATTGAAGCCAGGAGTGAGCCAACCTTGACTCCAATCAGTGTGATGATATTGGATGTGTTGCTGACAGCTGTCCTGCCCTTAGAAAAACACACCTGTTTTGGGTTTACTGGTTTTTCAAGAAGCACTGTCTGATGTGAACCATGCCTCGCAGAAAAGAGCTCTCAGAAGACCTACGATCAAGAATTGTTGACTTGCATGAAGCTGGAAAAGGTTACAAAGGTATCTCCAAAAGCCTTGATGTTCATGTGTCCACGGTAAGACAGACTGTCTACAAATGGAGAGAAAGTTTAGCACTGTTGCTACTCTCCCTAGGCTCCATGGTCGTCCTGTAAAAATGACTGCAAGAGCACAGCACAGAAAGCTGCATGAGGTAAAGAAGAATCCCAGAGTGTCAGCTAAAGACCTACAGAAATCTCTGGCACATGCTAACATTTTTGTTGACACATCTACAATAAGGAAAACATTAAACAAGAATGGAGTACATGGGAGGACACCACGGAGGAAGCCATTGCTGTCCAAAAAGAATATTGCAGCACGTTTGAAGTTTGCAAAAGAGCACCTGGATGTTCCACAGCACTACTGGCAAAATATACTGTGGACAGATGAAACCAAGATTGAGTTGTTTTGGGAAGAACACACAACACTATGTGTGGAGGAAGAAAAAAAAGGCACAGCACACCAACATCAAAACCTCATCCCCACTGTAAACACATGGCGGAGGGAGCATCATGGTTTGGGGCTGCTTTGCTGCCTCAGGGCCTGGACGATTGTTGTCATTGATGGGAAAATGAATTCCAGAGTTTATCAAGACATTTTGCAGGAAAACGTACGACCGTCTGTCCGCCAACTGAAGTTCCACAGAGGATGGGTGATGCAAAAGGACAATGACCCAAAGCATACAAGTAATTCAACAAAACAATGGCTGCAACAGCACAGAATACGCCTTCTGGAGAGGCCCAGTCAGAGTCCTGACCTCAACCCGATTGAAATGCTGTGGCATGACCTTAAGAGAGAGCGATTCACACCAGACATCCCAAGAATATTGCTACGATGAAACAGTTTTTGTGAAGAGGAGTGGTCCAAAATTACTCCAGATCATTGTGCAGGTCTGATCTGCAACTACAGGAAGCATTTGGTTGAGGTTATTGCTGCAAAAGGAGGGTTAACCAGTTATTAAGTCCAAAGGTTCACATACTTTTTCCTCCCTGCCACTGTGAATGTTTACATGTTTATGTGCAATTAAACCATGGCAACATCTAATGTTTGTGTAATATTATGTTCAGCAGACTGTGTTCTTCTATTGTTGTGACTTAGATGACGTTTCAGAGCACATTTTATGCCCAATTCATGCAAAACTCCACGTAAAATCCCAAGGGGTTCACATACTTTTTTCTTTGCAACTGTATATAGATATATATATATGTCACAGTATTATGTTATATGAGATATGATGCTATACTGTATGTGATATTATGCAATATTTATTATGTTATATAGTTACCGTATGTTATATCTGTTCTTACAGATTATACTAGGCCTACCTAACGGATCCTAGAAATATGGAGGTTTGTAACTTTTCTTGCATTATTCATGTTAATCTGTTCAGCTATGGCTGCTTTATTTGTTTTATGTTAAAATGCACTTCATGAGTCATCTTTACAGTGGTAGAAGTTTTGTGTCAGCTCCTATGCATCTTTCCCACTTCCATTACCTGTTATACCATGATCATATTAGCATCAGTAACCTGCACACTGTCCATTATCCTGCCATAACAAGTATAATTGACTTCCATGTGTTAGGTCAGTAAGAAGCTTCTGAACTCTGTGTCTGGCTGTGTTGATGACGTTCTACTTGGCCTCGCAAGTTGCAATCCTGATCTGAAGGTGCTAGAAGGTCATCGTGTCATACTACGAGCGGATCTCAGTAATATAAAGGGACGCGTGGCACTTCTGTCTGGGGGAGGCTCTGGGCATGAACCAGCACATGCAGGTAAACTTTTGCAGAATAACACATATATATATATATATTATTATTATTATACAGTATTTGTAAAGCGCCAATAGTTCGCTCAGCGCTGTACATTACAAAGGGGGACAGAACATGTGACAGAACAATACCAATACAATGCAAAACATGAGGGGATCGAGGGCCCTGCTCTTTCAAGCTTACAATCTAGGAGGGAGGGGATGGTGGCACAGGAGGAGATAGCTGTGGGGGATGGAGTGGTAGGAAGAGTGGAGGAGGTCGGCAAGTTAGCAGGGGGCGGGGTAGGCTTCCCTGAAGAGATGGGTTTTCAGGGTTCGCCTAAAGGAGAGGAGAGTAGGTGATAATCTGATGGGTTGGGGCAGGGAGTTCCAGAGGATGGGTGACACCCTGGAGAAGTCCTGGAGGCGGGCATGGGAGGAGGAGACCAGGGAACTAGAGAGAAGGAGGTCTTGTGAGGAGCGGAGTGTGCGTGCTGGGCGGGTACTTGGATATTAGGTCAGTGATGTAGTTCGGGGGCAGTATGGTGGACAGCTTTGTACGTCAGCGTTAGGATTTTTGAATTTGATCCGTTGCGCAATCGGAAGCCAGTGGAGGGATTGGCAGAGGGGGGTGGCGGAAACGGAGCGGTTGGAAAGGTGAATGAGTCTGGCAGCCGTATTCAGGATGGACTGAAGCGGGGATAGCCAGCGGCGAGGCAGGCCAGTGAGGAGGGAGTTGCAGTAGTCGAGTCGTGATATGATGAGGGAGTGGATGAGCTGTTTAGTGGTTTCTGGAGTTAGGAACGTGCGGATTTTGGCGATGTTGCGGAGGTGGAGTCTGCACGAGTTTGTTAAAGATTGGACTTGGGGCTGGAAGGATAGGTTGGAGTCCAAAATGACACCAAGTACTCTGGCCTGCGGGGCGGGTTTGATGGTGGCGTTGTTGGACATGATGGAGAAGTCAATGGGGGGTGGGGTGTCCGGGCTGGAGGGAAGACAAGAAACTCGGTTTTGGAGAGGTTCAGTTTAAGGAAGTGGTGCGACATCCAGTCTGATATGTCGCTCAACAGGTGTGTGATTCGGGCGGAGACCGAGGGGGTGAGGTGGGGGGTTGAGAGATAGATTTGTGTGTCGTCGGCATAGAGGTGGTAGTTGAAGCCGTGAGAGTGTATGAGTTGGCCAAGGGAGGAGGTGTAGATGGAGAAGAGAAGGGGCCCGAGGACAGAGCCTTGAGGGACCCCAACAGAGAGGGGAGTGAGAGGGAGGTGGTGGCATTATAGGTAACGCTGAAAGAGCGTTGTGACAGGTAGGATGAGAGCCAGGGAGAGCAGAATCTCTGAGGCCGAGGGAGTGTAGTTTTTTTGAGGAGGAGGGGGTGGTCGACTGTGTCAAAGGCCGCAGAGAGGTCAAGGAGTAGGAGCACTGAATAGTGGCCATTAGCTTTGGCGGTTAGCAGGTCGTTGGAGAGTTTGAGTAAGGCAGTTTCGGTGGAGTGTAGGGGACGGAAGCCGGACTGTAGGGGATCGAGGAGGTTGTTGTCGTTGAGGTGAGAGCATAGGCGGCCGTAGACTAGGCGCTCGAGGAGTTTAGATGTAAATGGGAGCAGGGAGATGGGTCTGAGGTTGTTCGGGTCATTGGGGTCCAGGGAGGGCTTTTTAAGTATGGGGGTGATGTGTGCATGTTTCAGAGGGGAAGGGAAAGTGCCGGAGGAGAGGGAGAGATTGAAGATGTGGGTGAGGGAGCGTAGGATGGAGGGGGAGGGAGGTTGTAGGAGTTTGTGAGGGATAGGGTCAGGGGGCAGGTGGTGAGGCGGGCATCAGAGAGGATCTTGGAGACTTCTTCGATGGTAGTAAGGTCAAAGGTGCGGAGTGTTGGGGGAGCTTCAGTATGAGGAATGTAGGGTGGGGTGGGAGAGGAGGTCAGAGCAGTGGTGGGGGCCGTGGGAGAGGGGTGTAGAGGGGGTAGCTGAGTGAGGGGGAAGGGGGTTGGAGGGAGTTTGAGCAGCGACGAAGTCCCTGTGGGTTATGTCGAGGGGGAGGGGGGATGAGGGGGTAGCTGTGTGAGAGGGGACGGGTTGAGAAGGCGTGTGAGTTGCGGCAATGTCCTTGCGAATTGTGTCAATCTTGTTTTTGAAGTGATTGGCAATCTCAAGGGCAGTGAGTGAGGTGCTGGGTGGAGGTGGGGGTGGCGAGAGTAGAGAGTTGAAGGTGGAGAAGAGTCGGCGAGGATTGGAGGAGAGGGCCTTGAGGAAGTAGGCTTGTTTGGCAGTATGGAGGGGGGGAGGTGTAGGTGTGGAAGGCAGATTTGTATCGGGTGAAGGCTTGTTGGGATTTGGTTTTGCGCCATAGTCGCTCCAGGGCACGACTGTGTCGTTTGAGGGTTTTGGTGTGATCAGTCTGCCATGGCTGGAGCGGTCGGGGTCTGATGTTGCGTGTGGTTAAAGGCGCTAGTGAGTCAAGGGCTGTTGACAGCGCATTGTTGTAGGCAGTCATAGCCAAGTCGGGGCAGAACAGGGGGGAGGATGCGGTCATGGAGTTGATCAACTGCGGAGTGGTGGGAGGCAGGGTTAAGGTTGCGGAGGTTACGGCTGGTAGTAGTGTGACATTTGGAGGGGTAGGCGTTGGAGGATGAGGAGATAGAGAAGGTAATCAGGTTGTGGTCAGAGAGAGGGAAGGGGGTGTTAGTGAGGTTGTGGGGAGCGCAGCGGTTGGAGAAGACAAGATCAAGGATATTACCGTTGGGTGGTGGATTGTATGCACTGTGCAAGTGCAAAGGAGGAGGTTAAGTGGAGGAGACGGGCTGTGTCCGGGTTGTCGAGGTTGACAGGGATGTTGAAATCCCCAAGGATGATAGTGGGTAGCTCAGAGGAGAGGAAGAAGGGTAGCCAGGAGGAGAAGTCTTCCAGGAAGCGGGGTATGGATCCAGGAGGCCGGTATATCACAGCAATCTTCAGGGGGGTTGGGGAGAATAGTCGGACGCAGTGGGCCTCGAAGGAGGAGAAGGATAGGGAGGGGGGGTTTGGGAGGACTCGGAAGGTGCTCAGCGGTGACAGGAGCAGGCCAACCCCACCACCTTTACGACCGTTGGGCCTGGGTGAGTGGGTCCAGGTGAGACCGCCGTAGGAGAGTGCAGCAGGGGAGGTAGAGTCAGTGGGCTGGATCCAGGTTTCCGTAATCGCCAGGAGGTTGAGGGAGCGGGAAACAAAGAGGTCGTGGATGGCGGTAAGCTTGTTGCACACCGATCGGGGCGTTCAGGAGTGCACATGAAAACGGGGGGGAGATTTTAGGTAGCAGGGGGACAGATACTAAGTTGCGGGGGTTGCGGCAGGACGTGGAGGCGGGAGGGTTTTGTGCGGGTGAGGGAGGTGGTGGAGGGCCAGGATTCGGGGAGATGTCCCCCGCGGTTATGAGGAGGAGAAGGGTGAGAAATGTGGCATGGGAGCGGGATGTGCAGGAGCGTGAGAAACTACTAGTGGAGGTGTTCGGGTCAGTGGGAGAGTGGAGTAATAGGAGGAGTACTGTGTATATATATATATATATATATATATATATATATATATATATATATACACCGTATCTCACAGAAGTGAGTACACCCCTCACATTTTTGTAAATATTTTATTATATCTTTTCATGGGAAAACACTGAAGGAATGACACTTTGCTACAATGTAAAGTAGTGAGTGTACAGCTTGTATAACAGTGTGAATTTGCTGTCCCCTCAACTCAACACACTCACACACAGCCATTAATATCTAAAACCGCTGGCAACAAAAGTGAGTACACCCTGAAGTGAAAATGTCCAAATTGGGCCCAAAGTGTCAATATTTTGTGTGGCCACCATTATTTTCCAGCACTGCCTTAACCCTCTTGGGCATGGAGTTCACCAGAACTTAACAGGTTGCCACTGGAGTCCTCTTCCACTCCTCCATGACCACATCACGGAGCTGGTGGATGTTAGAGACCTTGTACTCCTCCACCTTCCATTTGAGGATGCCCCACAGATGCTCAATAGGGTTTAGGTACGGAGACATGGCTTGGCCAGTCCATCACCTTTACCCTCACCTTCTTTAGCAAGGCAATGGTCATCTTGGAGGTGTGTTTGGGGTCGTTATGTTGGAATACTGCCCTGCGGCCCAGTCTCCGAAGGAGGGGATCATGCTCTGCTTCAGTATGTCACAGTACATGTTAGCATTCATGGTTCCCTCAAAGAACTGTAGCTCCCCAGTGCCGGCAGTACTCATGCAGCCCCAAACCATGACACTCCCACCACCATGCTTGACTGTATACAAGACACACTTATCTTTGTACTCCTCACTTGGTTGCCGCCACACACGCTTGACACCATCTGAACCAAATAAGTTTATCTTGGTCTCATCAGACCATAGGACATGGTTCCAGTAATCCATGTCCTTAGTCTGCTTGTCTTCAGAAAACTGTTTGTGGGCTTTCTTGTGCATCATCTTTAGAAGAGGCTTGGTTCTGGGACGACAGCCATGCAGACCAATTTGATGAAGTGTGCGGCGTACGGCCTGAGCACTGACAGGCTGACCCCCCCACCACTTCAACCTCTGCAGCAATGCTGGCAGCACTCATACGTCTATTTCCCAAAGACAACCTCTGGATATGACAGTGAACATGTGCACTCAACTTCTTTGGTAGACCATGGTGAGGTCTGTTCTGAGTGGAACCTGTCCTGGTAAAACCACTGTATTGTCTTGGCCACCATGCTGTAGCTCAGTTTCAGGGTCTTGGCAATCTTCTTATAGCCTAGGCCATCTTTATGTAGAGCAACAATTCTTTTTTTCAGATCCTCAGAGAGTTCTTTGCCATGAGGTGCCATGTTGAGCTTCCAGTGACCAGTATGAGCGAGTGAGAGCGATAACACCAAATTTAACACACCTGCTCCCCATTCACACCTGAGACCTTGTAACACTAAAGAGTTACATGACACTAAGGAGGGAAAATGGCTAATTGGGTCCAATTTGGACATTGTCACTTAGGGGTGTACTCACTTTTGTTGCCAGCGGTTTAGACATTAATGGTTGTGTGTTGAGTTGAGGGGACAGCAAATGTACACTGTTATCCAAGCTGTACACTCACTACTTTACTTTGTAGCAAAGTGTCATTTCTTCAGTGTGTCACATGACAAGATAGAATAAAATATTTACAAAAATGTGAGGGGTGTACTCACTTCTGTGAGATACTGTATGTGTGTGTGTGTATGTATATATATATATATATATATATATATATATATATATATATATATAAAATTGGCACTTTTTTTATTCATTATGCTATTGCTTGCTCTTCATTTTAATAGGGTACGTCGGTCAGGGAATGCTCACTGGAGTTGTTGCTGGTCCTGTATTCACATCACCCCCAGTTGGAAGCATTGTAGCTGCAGTCAGGACAGTGGCCCATGCTGGAGCAGGTATTAATATCCGGTTTAGTCTGCCTTATTTTTCTATATTGTGCCACTGTGCATATGCAGTCTTATTCAGCTTTTCAGTGTAACGATTCATGACTAACACTTGGCAAGCTGCTTATACTTTGAAACAACTGGCTATATAATGCCTAGGCTACTGGTACTATACCATTAAAACAAACTTTCTAAAACCTAAGAAAGCATACGTTTTGCACACGGAAACCATCTGGATTCCACCTGTTGTGTTTTTTTTTTTTTTAACTATCTTCAATTAGAAAATGAGGATACCTATCTTTTTCTCTTCCCCCTCTCCAGACTTTGAGTATAGGTTATATTTACTTACAACCCCACTGTTCAGTAATCTTCATGGTTCTGACTGCGGCTGCACATTAACTGGCCAAAATTTGCACCCAATCCGTGCTTAGGCATATACCATGGCCTCTGCAGCCTTGAGAGTAAGTACACCCTATAGTGAATATACTGAATATACCAGTTGGTATATTTAAAATGTAGAGGTTGATATCTAGTCAAATTAATGTACCTACATTGCTTGCATTAAAAAAAATATTTATTTGTGTTGCTTGAACTGGATGGACTTTTGTCTTTTTTCAGCCAGATTAACTATGTAACTATGTGTTGTTAAATACAGAGCTGCATTAATATGTGACTTGTGTCTGGGTTGAGTTCTTCTTTTAATTTTAGCTTGTAATATTTTGTGTTTTTATTTTTCTAAATTGCACTTTACCTGTTGTATTTCAGTTCCGTAATGTGTTTTTATCCATTTCTCTTTCTCCCTCCAAGCCGGTGTGCTCCTCTTGGTGAAGAATTACACAGGTGATCGCTTGAATTTTGGGTTGGCTTTAGAGCGTGCACACCGGGAAGGTATTGAAGTGGAGATGGTAGTGATCGCAGATGACTGTGCTTTCATCTCCCCAAGCAAGGCTGGAAGGCGGGGCCTGTGTGGAATTGTCTTGATTCATAAGGTAAGATGAACCAATTTTTCCCTTATAGTTTGACAACATGAACTGGTGAGAAAAATTGTTCCGTGCACAAGCAGTGATAGCAGACATACAAACAAATGCATAGACAGAGAGTTGTAGAGGGTACATATACCTCACTGTTTTAAATGAAGCACTAGCTAATTTGAGATTAACATGTTGTTTTGTGAGGGGAACAAACACAAGTGGGTGCAACTTTAGGTATTTTGTTACCATGTTTTGTTGTTAATTTAGATTGCTGGAGCTCTGGCTGAAGAAGGAAAAAGTTTGCAAGAAATTGCTTCATTTGTCAGACAAGCGGCAACTGGAATTGGTGAGCAAAAACAACCTACTCCTTTTAAACTTCTGTGATGGACCATCTGCACACATAGAAATTATACATTTCATTAAAACTTAACCCCTTCCCATCTACAGTATTCATATATGCAGCCCCACTGGACTGGGCTTTTTTCTGTGGTGCCACATATATGCATACCTGTCTTTGTGCTGGGAGCATGAAGCACAGTGCACTCTCAGCACAGAGACTGGGGTCTCACGGGAGCCCCAGGTCCCGTACTAAAGATCGGGACCTGGAACTGCTGCTTCTGGGTCACCTGATTGCTGTGATAGCTGTGACTGTCATTGGCTGTGCTGTGCTGTGCTGTGTGCTGTGCTGTGATTGGCTGTCACTGTGAAGCCCACTCCTGCATTTTCTCTATCTGAACGGAGGAGAGAGATACATTGTCTCTCTCTCTCTCTCTCTCTCTCTCGCAAAATGCACGCTATTGTTTCTGGGCTGTACTATGGGTACATACAACAAATAACATACACATGTATGGTATTGCTGCAATCATCGGGAGCTTGCATTTGCAAATAATACAGAAGTACATTGCATTTAAACACAGCATAGGAATAACTGAGCAAAAGTATAACACCCTCATGCGTAAAACACAATATATAACATTATAAAGCTAAAGCAGAGGGGAATAATACGCAAAACAGCTGTCACCAGATATAGCCAAAGCCTTGGGATTAATTACACTATCGTTCCCCATACAAGTAAGAGAGATATAATCCAGAGAGCATCTGTAAAGTCATTGCGCCCTGTAAATAAGTGATATCATAACACTGTGAAGCTGTTATTGGATAGGACAAAATAATAGGAAACAGAAAAGGAAGAAAAAAAGAGAAGAAAGAGAGAGAAAATCATGAGAACATAGAAGAATGGAAGAGGGAAAAAAAAAACAAAAAAAACATATACATGGAGGGAGAGGGGGGGGGGGGGGAGAATTTGATTAAAAAAAAGGAATGTTGACTTAAGCTAAAATAAAGGAGCCAAAGCCCTTTGAAAATCTGAAGTGAGACCATACTGTCCACATAAGTTTGATTCAGATTTATTCTCGTCCCAAGTGATCATCTGTTCCATATACTCAATCTTGTCAACCTCACAAGTCCATTCAGCTATATACGGAGCTTCAGTCTGATGCCAATGTCTGGCAATTACAGAACGAGCTGCCGTAATAATGTCGCACCAGACTTCTTTTAATTTGCTTATACGAACCTGGCAGCATAGACAATATAGTAATGCTAGGCTCATTTAGAATATAGTCTCCCACTAATGTAGTAAACAAATTGAGACTCTTCTTCCAAAAAGGTAAAATTTTTGGGCAAGTGCCCCAAATATGGGTCATGGTGCCAGGTTCTCCTAAGCATCTCCGGCATATCTCAGGGATAGATGGGTCAATTATATGCAAATTCGTAGGGCAACGATACCATCTAGACAGGATTTTGTAATTGCGTTCATGAGCATAAGAAGATACAGATAATTTGTATGATACAGCCAGTATCTTGTGTCAGTCCAGTCCTTCCGCCGACATGTTTAAATCCTGCTCCCATTTAGAAAGGAACAGAGGGGAATTCAGACAGGTTTCTTGCAGTAAGATCTGGTATACCTGCGAAAGCGTGTGTTTAGTTCTAGACGATTGGGATAGGCGAGATACAAAAGCCGTTGAAGACTGTGTCAGGTAATCCGTACAGTGCCGCTTACTCAAATAATGTTTCAGTTGAGTGTATTCCAACCATGCTAGTGATGTACTATGACAAGAGGGAAGGATTTGGGAAAGAGGCTTAAGGGCCTGGGCCACACAAAGTGTGGTGCAGTAGAGGCCCATCCTGGTGACGCCAACAAAAGAAACCGAGAACACTGTTCCGTGGAAGGGAATGAAGTTAGCCCAAACAATGGGGTCAAAGGGCTCAGCCTAGAAGACACTAGGCCCTCACGTAAGTAAGTATGTAAAGTAGCATCAACTGTAAGGGGTACCAACTCTCTCTGAGGTCTCTGTCCAGGTTCCAACCACAGCAAGGATGTAAGGGCAAGGGTCAAAAGATCATTCTCCAACTGAGTCCATAACTTAGTGGATTGACCATGGAACCAGTCAATCACTAAGCAGAGAGGCTGCAGGACAGTAAAGCGTAAAATTGAGCAGGGCCACACCACCCCTACATTCGGCAAAGATAGAATAGTGGATCGCGCTCTAGGTTTCTTATAGCCCCACAGAAAACCGTGTATCACCCTGTTCAAAGACAAAAAGAAATCCAAGGTCGGAGGAAGTGGGATAGCCTGAAAAGTGTATAACAATTTTGGCCATCTTAATACCATTCACTCGAACGAACCAAGAGATGTGTGGTCTATCATCTGTTTGAAGACAGGTGCGGACCGTTTGGAGAAGGGGTGTATAATTAAGGTCCAACATAGTGGGCAATGAAGATAGAATTTAAATACCGAGATATTTAATAGCCTTCGGTTGAAATTTAAAGCTGCAATTACGACGAACCTGGGATACCAAAGACTGGGGCAATGAAATGTTCAAAGCTTCTGTTTTATCATAGTTCATTTTAAAATTGCTTAATACCCCAAACTCTCCAAACGTCCGCATCAAGGAAAGAATGGATACAAGGGGGATGGTAACATAGAGGAGGAGGTCATCTGCGTACAAAGAATGTTTTTATAGTCATGGCGGCCGATGGAGATGTCTTGTATATCAGGGTGTTGACATATAGCAATGGCAAGATGTTCCATGGTAAGAATATATAGTAATGGGGAGAGAAGGCACCCCCTGGCGAGTGCTGTTACGAATCCATATATGATCAGATAAGAGACCTTTGGACCGAATCCTTGCACAAGGACAGGTATATAAAGCCAGGATTTTAGTCAATAACGTAAGACCAATGCCAATCTGTTGGAGCTTTTGGCGAAGGAAAGACCTGTGGACCCTATCGAACGCCGAGACAAACCGAAACATGGCATTTTTGAGCATATTCCATCAGGGTAATTGTTTGAAGGGTATTATCTCTGGCCTCCCTATTCGGGGTGAAGCCCACCTGATCAAGATGTATAAGATCTGGAAGTAAGGGCACGAGCCTGTTAGCAATGATTTTGGAGTACAGCCTAATATCTACATGTGTCAGGGAAATGGGACGGTAACTGCCACTTAGGTTAGGGTCTTTACTCTGTTTGGGCAGTACTGTAATATGAACCTCTAGTGCCTGGGTCGGGAAAGGGGAATCTGCAAAAACTGAATTAAATGTTCTGGTTAGGAAGGGGGTCAGAAGATCACTAATTGTTTTATAAAAGTGAGTGGTGTAACCATCTGGACCAAGGATTTTATTAGGTTTGAAAGAAGAGAGTGCACAAGCAAGTTCCTCTTCCATGAAAGGTTGGTTCAGATCTTGTACCATGGCAGGAGATATAGTAGGAAGAGTGGTTTTAGCAATGTATTCCCCTATTTTAGAATCATGGGTCTCGGAGGACATGGCCTCCGGACAAGAAGGTAAACCATGCAGAAGATGCGTAAGAAGAGTCGACCGTCAGGGCATTTGAGTTTTGCAATAGAAGCAATGCTATTTCTACCATGCAACGCCCTGGCGAGCATTCTCCCCAGTTTATTAGCCTCAACATAAAACAGGTTACGCATCCTGTCCCTCACAGCCATAGACCTCTGGTCAAAAAGTTCCAAAAGCCAAAGTCTAGTGTCAGAAAGCTCAAGCATAGTAGCAGGACATTGAGTCTGTTTGAGATTTTTCCAGAGTGAGGATACAAGCCGAAAGATCCTTTATCTGTGCCAAACGATCTTTTTTAAGCCTATAGCCATGTTTAATGAAGACACCCCAAACCACGGATTTCAATGCCTCCCACTGCATAGGAACAGGTGTATCATTGTTATGGTGGTCAGTAATAAAGTTATTTATGGTTTGCAGAATGTCATTGGAACATAGATCATCTTGGAGAAGCGAGTCATTCAGCCGCCACATCCACTCTTGTTTCGACATATCCATTAGGGAAAGGGACAAGTATATTGGTGCATGGTCAGACCAAAGAACATTGCCAATACTACTCTGCGGGCGGAAGGTCAAGGCAAAATGACTCACTTAAAAAAATCTATCCGTGAATAGGATTTGTGAGCTGTCGAATAGTATGAGTAATCTCTATCTGTTGGATGGGAAAGTCTCCACACATCCATTAGGTTATGTTGTTGGAGAAATTTGTTCAGTTTGTTGAGTTGTGAGTAGGAGATAGAACCTCAACCCGGAGAAGGATTCAGTACGCAATTAAAATCCCCCGCTAAAAGAATAATACCTTCAGCGAATTTCAATAATTTATGTAGATAACGGAGCATAATATAGGTAATTTGGTCCTGATTAGGGATGTACATATTCGCCAGTGAATACATCTTGCTATATATAAGAAGTTTCACAAACAAGTATCTGCCGTCAGGGTCTATACAAACATACAATAGCATGTATGGGATCGATTTATGAATGGCAATCGCTACCCCGAGATTTTGAATGAGCATAGGTACTATGAAACCAGAACGTGTAGTACTTGTTGCGTAAGGTAGGAACATGATCAGTACGGAAGTGGGTTTCCTGAAAAAAGACTTGTGAAAGCTGTACAGGATCTGAGAATGTTTAGAGGGTTAATTCAAGCCATGGGCATTAAAAGAACAGAGCTTCAGAGAGGTCGCAGACCTGGGACCCCCCATGACAAAAAAAAAAAAGGGGGTGGGGGGAGGGACAGGGGGCAGGAGAAGAAAGAAGGGGGAATCAAAGATAGAGAGACACATGATACAGAGCAGAGAAGTCAGAAGGAAGGGGGTGCATTACCCCAAGAACGATTAAAGAAAGGAAAGAAAAGAGGAGAAGGTAAGCCAAGAAAATAAACTTAGCACTTCGTAACTAACGAGAATAATTGGCAAAATAAGCCTACAGAGACCTGTCTGACCCAAAATACCCAGGTTATAGGCAGAGATCCTGAAACCTATATGGAGGAAAACCAAGCAATCTCAGGAAGGACGGAGCTAAACCCACATAACTTAATTATAGCCAATAATCAAACATTGAAGTGAGAGGATTCTCAATATAAATGATGACCAATGTTGATCATCAATAGGATATATAACCGGAATACAAAAGACATCAGCGATCTGCAGATATATATATATATAAGTGTATGAGACCTGAAATCCAAACATATCGGGTTCCATATAAAAATCCTGGCCCGACGACTAGCAACATCAGATACAGAAGGAAGAATTTAGGCATACATATAGTTATGTTAAGCTGTGCTCACAGAGGTCTCTGTGCACCACCCGACCCTCTCCCACCTCCATCATAATACTCATATAATGCCGCAAAAAGCCATATAACATTATAATACTCAACCCAGTGTAACCTCATATAACCACAATAACTGTAGAGGAAAAAGAAAAACATAGAAGCCTGTCCTGAGTGTGTTGAGCAACAAGTACACTGGAGATGTCCGAATAAGGACCATAGATGAATACTTAAATCCATCCTGCCATCCTCAGGGAGGCCCATGCAGCCAGATAATAGCAAAGAACACATCCGGTGTGAAGAAGGCTAGCTGCGATTGATGAAAAGAAGAAGATTGGTCCAAATCAGGGTTTGGTCAGCATAGAATCCCTGGACGAAGACCCAGGCTGGTTCCTGCTAGAAGGTGTCTGGCGCCTACGTTGTGGGAACGGGGCCCCAATAGGAGCAAGATCAGAGGTAAGCCAGTCCGGGACCGCCACCGGAGCTGTATTGAGAAATTGGAAAACCTCAGGGAGTTGATCCGGGTCCTTCAGGTAGAAGCTTTCATTGTGCAGACGGATAGTGAGACCAAACGGGTAGCTCCAGACATATGTGCTGCCACAATCTCTGATGGTATCCAGTAGAGGTCGCAGTAGGCGGTGTATAAAGAGAGCTCTGCGTGAACGGTCTTGTAGTATATTGATGGGTATACCATCAAATTGCATGGGCCCCCTATTCCAGGCTTTTCTCATGATCTCTTCTTTGACAGTAAAAAAATATATAAGGCAGAGTACATCTCTTGGCAGATTGCGTTCAGATCCCCCGGGAGAACTGACCCGATGTATCCTGTCAATTTCTATTGGAGAGGTAGCAGGTTTGCAGATCATTGAAAATCCCCAGGACAGTGGCTCTTAGGTCCGCCGGTCCAGTTGCCTCAGGCAGCCCGCAAATCTTAATGTTATTTCGCCTATGGCGATTTTCTAGGTCATCATGTTGCAAGCAGATATGGCTTAGAGTAGAGGATTGCTGCCTAGTGAGTGATTCAAGAGACTGTAGCCTTTGTAATATGGAGTCCCTGTCAGTCGACAAAGTATTCACGGATCTCGGAGGTCCGGCGGCCATTACACTATACCAGCTGGTCAGTGCTCATAGCAGCTTTATGCTGCTTCATTACTTTGCATAGTTTTTGCTCTGGAAGGATACCGTCTTTTTCTTTGAATCTTGTTTCATCATTAATAAACTTTAAGCAAAATTACTACACTATGGGCATTTCCCTTTATGGCTCTTTGGTGAGCTTTTAATCCCCCAGAGCTCCCCTTGGTGGCCATCTCTGTATCCAGAAGAGGCTGCATTAATGTCCTTAAAGGGGACTTCCGGATGTAAAGCTGCCCTGATGATATCTACCTACCTTAAAGCTGTACCACCTTTAAGAGGGATTCTGGGCAGACCTCCACTGATTAATACATTGTGCATTATCCTTGCGCATCTGGTGAGTGCACATTTTATCTATATGTTGCCACTCACAGAACCTGTTTGACGATTGATACATCACCGGGACTAATTGTGTCACCTTGGGCCTCCATTGGATTTTTGATTTTATTTATGGACTTTTTATATTCTAATATTTTATGATTATTACTTATTGGACTTTTATTGACCTATATATTTTATTGGACATTTTACTTGTGTCATTATACATTTCATTATCCATACCATCATACTACTATAGAATTTTTAGCGCTGCACTATTTTACATACGTTGCTTGAAGGTTTTATGGTCTCCTTTTGGTGCACAGCTGCTTTTTTGTTCTCAAAGCGCTCGCTGACATCTCTATATATCCCCTCACTTCTTGTTTTGCCAAATTTCAGCATGACAGGAAGTGAAATTAATGCCGGCCATACACGGGTCGAAATGCGACCGATTTTTCATCCGAAAATCGGACCTAAGAATAATCGGACAATTCTTGCTCTGTTAGTGGGTCAATGGCTCCAGCCGATTTTCATGGTTCCTCCCCTTTTCGGTGATCTGGCATGTTGGAAAATTTGTGATGGTCAAATCGTACGATCGTTTTTTTTTTCCGAAAATAATATGCACATGAGCCGTGATCTGGAAGGAACAGAAGTTTTGCCTATTATATGGGGTGAACTTTATGACTTGGTTGGCCGATTTTTTAAATCATTGATGGCACCATCGGATTACCGAGCGAACAACATTGTCAATTTTCGGATGAAAAGTCATTCGGAATTCGACCCATGTATGGCCTGCATTAATCTCTCCAACTGAGCCCCTGGATAGCAAAACAGATACATTTTGGCGGCACCCCTCCACCCTGTTTCCTGTGGCTCAGAAAATGCTATGTTGGAATTTGGTCATATGATTTCTACTATATGGGTTGGGAACCGACCTAGACATATGGTAACCTAAAAAGCCATTTTTGGGTGCCTGAATTTCTGTAGCATAGGTATGTTTTACAGGGAATTCTTTTTAAAATATTCAATTTAGGATGGGGCAGGTTGTGGTTTCACAAAGGACCTTTCTCGTTGCTTCACATTTAAATTGCTGTATCCAATATGTATCACAAGGTGGTGCTGTAGCACCTATATCAGCACTAATATTTTCTATGTGACCTCTTATATCCTTGCATGTTATTAGCTGGCATGTTATTATAGTAAAAACCTAAAATTTTGTTTCTTTGCAGTCACTTTTTATTAGTCTCTCCTCTGTTGTTCTAGGTACCTTGGGTGTCAGTCTATCTCCATGCAGTGTGCCAGGATCAGGACCTACTTTTCAACTTGCGGCAGATGAGTTTGAATTGGGATTAGGTAAGTATATGTTTTTCATTAATGTTTTCTGGGGATCCGGCCATGGTCCTAGTAACACAAATATGGGTTACAATGCTAGGTTTGATTTATGAGGATTGGGGACACTGGTAAACACTTCCAGTGGAAAATGGAAAACAAAGAATGCATATAAGAAACTATGGGGGGATAAAAGTATTTGACACTTTTCTGGTGGTGACAGATTTAGTTACATAGTTAGTCCAGCTGAAAAAAGACAAAAGTCCATCCAGTTCAACCATAGGAAAAAAAAAGTTATAATCCTATACCCACAGTTGATCCAGAGGAAGGCAAAAAAAACCCCAGCAAAGCATGATCTAATTTGCACCTGCTGGGAAAAAAATTCCTTCCTGATCCCCCGAGAGGCAATCGGATATTCCCTGGATCAACTTTACCTATAAATGGTAGTAACCAGTTATATTCTGTGTATCTAAGAAATAATCCAGGCCTTTTTTAAAGCAATCCACTGAGCTGGCCAGAACCAACTCTTGAGGGAGTCTATTCCACATTTTCACAGCTCTTACTGTGAATAAACCTTTCCGTGTTTGGAGATTAAATTTCTTTTCCTCCAGACGTAAAGAGTGATCCCTTGTCCTCTGTGATAACCTCAGGGTGAATAACTACACCGATTTCACTATATGAACCACTGATGTATTTTTACATGTTGATCATATCCCCCCTTAATCTCCTCTTCTCAAGAGAGAATAAATTCAGTTCTCTAATCTTTGCTCATAGCTGAGCTCCTCCATGCCTCGTATCAGTTTGGTTGCCCTTCTCTGTACTTTCTCCAGTTCCCCAATGTTCTTTTTGTGAATTGGTGCCCAAAACTGAACTGCATATTCCAGATGAGGTCTTACTAATGATTTGTACCGGGGTAATATGATATCTCTCTCTCTGGAGTCTATACCTCTTTTAATACAAGAAAGGATTTTGCTCGCTTTAGAAACCTCAGCTTGGCATTGCATGCCATTATTAAACTTGTGATTTACCAGAACCCCAGATCCTTCTCCACCATTGATTCCCCCAGTTGTACCCCCCTAGTATGTATGATGCATGCATATTCTTAGCCCCCAAGTGCATAACCTTACATTTATCAACATTAATCCTCATTTGCCATATAGTTGCCCAATTAAACAGTGCATTGAGGTTGGCTTGTAAGATGGAGACATCCTGTAAGGACGTTATTCCACTGCACAGTTTGGTGTCATCTGCAAAGACTGAAATAGTGTTTATAATCCCAGACCCTATATTGTTTATAAATATATTAAAAAGTAAGGGTCCCAACACTGAACCCTGAATTAGATCCTAATTTCAAAGCTTTTAGAATCTGTTGTTATATCTGACAAATTCAAAAAGAATTTCCTCCAGTTCAAAGATTGGGAACTTGGCGGTAATTAAGACCAACTCTGAGTTGGTGTACAATGAGACGCCAATGATCAGAATAGGGCATGTCTGTGCTGGAAAGCTGCCATGAATAAGATAGCTTTCTGCACATGGCTCCTTGGTTGCTAAAAAAAAAAAAAAAAACCTAGCAACTAGTAAGTCATCCCCAGCCCCATTCAGCTGTCAGCTAGGAGATTTCTCAGCTGACAGCTGAAGATAAACAAAGGGCAATGATGCTGGTGACTCATCCTTTGCCCCATTCAGCTGTCAGTTGGAGGTATCAAAGGGAAAGGGATGATTTCTGATGTCATTACCCAAAAGACAGTGACAGGAATCCTGTCTGACAACTAAATGGAGGTGGGCATGTGTCATTGGTTGTTATTGTGCTGTCGCCTGGGGAAGGGGGTGGTAAGTCTGCACTGAGGATGGAGAATGTTCAGTGTCCGACAGCTATATGAATTTGTTGCAGGTACCAACATTTGTGGTGCAGAGGCATGACAGAATTCTAAAGATTGTCTAACACTGTTTAAAATTTCAGAGTATATGGTTTTTAAAAAGGATATGCAAATATGCAAAAACAGAACAGGTGTTTCTTATGGTAACAAATGATGAGTCCCTGATCCAAGCACCTTTTATGTAGCAAGAATCCCCATGCTAAGAGCCAAGTAAACTGTTCTCTTGTCAAAGGAAAATATATCCATATGGACTAGTCACAATATCAGGTATGAACTGAGGAAACACTGCTAATGAACACAATTGTTGTGCAAGCTGTTGGAAAAAATAAAGCATGCATGACCAGTTATGGTCCACTATTCCATTAACCACTTGCCTACAGGGCACTTTCCAGCTTTCAGCGCTGTAACACTTTGAATGACAATTGCGCGGTCATGCAACACATGTACCCATATGACATTTTTATCATTTTTTTGAGACAGATAGAGCTTTATTTTGGTGGTATTTAATCACTTCTGGGTTTTTTATTTTTTCTTAAACAAACCAAAAACCACTCAAAATTTTGAAAACAAAATTTTGTTTTGTTATAAAATAATTGTAAATAAGTGATTTTTCTCCTTCACTGATGTACGCTAATGAGGCTGCACTGATGGGCACTGATAGGCTGCACTGATGGACACTGATAGGTGGCACTGATGGGCACTGGTAGGTGGCACTGATGGGCATTGACAGGCATCACTGATGGGCACTGAAAGGCAGCACTGATACATGGCACTGATATATGGCACTGATAGGCAGCAATGACTGGCACTAATAGGCGGCACTGACTAGCATTGTTAGGCGGCACTGATAGGCGGCACTGACTGGCACTGATAGGCAGCACTAACTGGCACTGATAGGCGGCACTGACTGGCACTGATAGGCGGCACTGATTGGCATTGATAGGTGGCACTGACTGGCACTGATGGGTGACACTGAAAGGCAGCTCAGATGGGCACTGATATGTGGCATTGATGTGCACTGGTGTGCACTGATATGTGGCATTGATGTGCACTGGCAAGAGGCACTGACATAAGGCACTGATGGACACTGACAGGTGGCACTGCTGGGGCCACACTGATCATCAGTGCCCTGATGATCAGTGTACATGTCCCCTCCGCGGAAAGCCGATTACCGGCTCTCCTCTCCTCGCCTCTCGAGTTGTCAGCGTGACAGCTCGAGAGGAGAGAAATGCCGATAACCGGCATTTCCCTGTTTACATGTGATCAGCTGTGATTGGACACAGCTGATCACATGACCGAGCCAACATCTTCGGCTCTTCCCGTCGATCACTGTGCTGCGCGCTCCCTGAGCCGCGCATGCGCAGTGAGAATGGGAGGACGTCATATGACGTCCTCCCAGAACGAGAGAACCGCCTTGCGCCCATCATATTACTATATGGCGGGCGGGAGGTGGTTAAAGTAAAAACTTCCGTTGCTTTCATTATTCTATGATTTAAAAAAATAAAAATAGAATTTTTAATTTCTTTATAGAAATTGCTAGCAGAGAAAAGCTGGTGTATTTAGAGTTTGTTTTTTAAACTGCCACTAATATGCATTTAAAGCGGAAATAAACCCATCAATTTAACTGTTTCAAAAACAGTTCTATTTCCGGCACATGCCAGGAATGTAACTGTTACATTTGCGTGTGTTCTCAACCAAACATTCAAACCATCAAATGACTAGTGTCGTAACTGGTCACATGTGCAGCATCATGGCAGTTGAAGATCAAAACAGAGGTTAAGATGGCAGCTTCTTTGGCTGAAAACAATAGTAGGGTTTAGTTCTGCTTAAAATGATCTGTACATACTGAACACAGCAAGTTATGTTGTAATGGCAGTTAAAACAGACTCAGGAAAGTACTTTTGCATTCAGTGAAATCTGCATGTATCTGCATTGTCTCTAGACCTTAGTGAACTGATTGGCCTTTTTCCTTAATCTGGCCATATATTATACAATTTTCTTATTAAATTTTCTTTAGATTTAGCTTCAACTACATAGTGCAAGGGCCTGCCTGACCACATAAAAAATGGAAAGTGTTTAGGTTTGGCCTCATATTATATGGTTTTGGTAAATCTAACGGAAAACTGTACAAGAAAATTGTATAATGTATGGCCAGCATCAGTTCTGTTGATAGAATTTATTGTTTAAATGTATATTTATTCATGCCTGATTTTTTAATATATGACTGGAGTTTTGTTTTTTGGGCAGGTATACATGGCGAGGCTGGGGTTCAAAGATACAAGGTGTGTACAATGTCCTCCTTCCTGTTTCTTTGTGTCATTCTACAGGAATTGGTAATAATTAAAACCCAGCTCAAGCCAAAACGATTTCTTAATTTCAGAGTGTGGAGTGATTTGAAAAATGTAAAACATTTCTTTTATTGCTGCCTGGCTGGATTTCAACTTTAACACCTACTGGTGCATTTGAATATTGCATTTGAGTGACACTAGCCTGAAAAAAGTTTCAGAAGATTGCACAATTTTTACTTGCTTGCTGTTCTGTAATTTAATTATTGTATTTAATCTTCAGATTAATAAATACATTCTCTGTAAGTCAAAGATATATTGGAGAATGGGATTGGCATTCACTGCTTTAAAGTTACTAAACCCACAAAAGTAAAATCAATCCGTATATGCAGTAAAGCATGCTTGTATACTCACTGTGAAACTTAAGAGGTTAATCCTCTGCATTGTGTAAAAAGGAAGTTTGATCCTGTCTTCTCTGATCCTCCCCTTCTTCCACAGTCCCCATTTCATCTCCTGATAGAACAGAGCCTTGGGGACAAGTTGCACATGCTCAGTTCTTAGTGTGTATTGCTAGAGAGTTTTTTTATTTTTTTGGGAGGGTGCATGTGATCAGCATAGGGTCAATGAGCACTGTCCAGACAGAGGGTCAGGGGTCCTGAAGCCTCACAGGACAGTGAGAGGAGAATGAAAACTCCTCCTACAAGCTATAACCAGTGCTCTGCTGGATACTGATAGAAGTCACAAGACTGCTGTATACTGCTGATGAGAAAAGGTATTTATCAGTTTATATTTACTAAAATAGTTTCATTTCCATGTTCTTTGTTTTGTGGGATACCAGATATAGTGAATGCAGGGTCCTGGGTTTAGTAACACTTTAAGTGTATCTAAACCCTAGAATATGGGAATTGTAGATTATGTAACTGTAAAGATATGTAATTTATTTAAGCTTACAGTCCTGTGTTCATTAGTTTTTTTTTTCACTGGATGATCCTGCCAGGAGCACATTCCTGTCCTATGGTGACAATGCTCACTCACTGAATGGTATCAATGGACGAGGAATGTTGTCACCGTAGTACAGTAAGTGTGCTACGACCAGATAACACCCTGTAACACAGTGAAAAGCGTAATGTAGTCCACAGAAGAGAATGGGGCAGGCTTTACTGGATTTCTGGCAGGATAAACATGTATATTTCTGTACTTGCAAAGTTTATTTTGCTCTGACATACAATTTAATGATGGTATAGCCTTATAGACAGTCAGACTTGACCCATAGACTTGCAGTGAGAGCCTTGAAATACAGTCATTGTGTTATACCATTAAGGAGGAATCAGAGCCTGCATTCATATTAGGGAAATATGGCTGCCCCCATTTTCACAAATACCTACAAACTGTAAAAAGACCAAAATTTCCTTTAACATGTTCACCAAAGAATATGTTATGCTGAGTGGAGTGTAATGCACCCAAGTAAGACCTTTTCGGAAGGATCATTGCCCATAGCATTTAATTCTACACTGCAGACAGCATATGGGTTTGGAGATTGCTCATGTAGGCAAGGTTCAGACTGCCTCTTAAATGACCACCAATATGACATTGCCAGGTTTCCTTAGTACCAGTCTGGCACTGGCAATCGTTACAGCAGCAGTCTTAGCAACTTGAAAATATCTGACAACTACATGGATGCAAATTAAAAAAAAAACACATTGAGATCATTGGTTGCTGCACCATTATTTTGTCTTTCTTTAATAGATGAAGTCCTGTGATGAGATTGTAAGGATTATGATAGATCATATGACCAATGAAGTAAGCAAATCAAGAGTAGTTTTGCAGCCAGGTAAGTGTGAGCAATGAGCTGCCTTGTGTACTGTATATAACCAGACGTAATTCAATCACAGTTCATGGACTTTGGACACTGCCAAACAAATTTATATATAAAGTACAAAACTTTATTGATGCATAATAAAATCTTAAATGTATTCAAATTAAAAGCACAGTCGCATTCTGCACCCTATTTATTTATTTATTTCAGGTACTTATATAGCGCCATCAATTTACACATTCACATCAGTCCCTAACCCTCAAGGGGTGTACAATCTAAGGTCCCTAACTCACATTCATACATACACATACTAGGGTCAATTTAGAGAGGAGCCAATTAACCTACCAGCATGTCTTTGGAGTGTGGGAGGAAACTGGAGTACCCAGAGGAAACCCACGCAGGCACAGGGAGAACATGCAAACTCCAGGCAGGTGGTGCCATGGTTGGGATTCGAACCAACGACCCTAGTACTGCCAGACGGAAGTTTTAAACATTTAGCCACTGTGCAACCCCACCCTATGCCAGTAAGGGTGGTCGCCTAATTCACATCCAGCGGTATAATAGTTACAGACTAGAAATCAGATTAGCCCCTTCACATAAAGCTCAACATGTTTTGCTTATTCCGCTTCTTCAGGAGCAGAAGATGAAAACATACAAATGCTACAACAATGTCAGTCAGAGACAATATCCCAGATGCAATATATCACACGATGAAGCAGTAGACAAGAGACCAAAATCCCATATAATATCAAACAGATCTGTATTTGGTCTGTCCATAGGTAGTGACCCTCATGATAGTTCCTTTTATTCCAATATAAGAGACAATGTAAGATACTTCACATCTCTCCGCTAAGAGCCATGAACAAATGTCAGGAGAATGAGAAAAAAATGAGAGAAGAGACTAAACAGTCTTCAAAATGAAGACCACCAGAGGTCTTGCTTCAAACAGGCCATAAGTGGAGCTCAATTGTAATAATCTTGATAACTCGTCTTTCCTATAAGGGGTCACCAACTGAGTCTGTTCATGCCTTGAATAATAACTGTTACAGTTATTAATGGGCTTATGTTAGCTCTCAACTGATTTATCAAGTCATCAAATGGCCGGTGTCATAGCTGATCATACGTTCCACACCATGCCAACTTCAGAACAAGCACAGACTAAAATGACAGCTTCATTGGCTGTAAAGGCAATAATAAAAAAAAAAATAACGCATGTCATACTTGCCTGTTTTGTGCATTGGTGGCAGTAAAATGCAAGATCTACTTACACTGTCTGGTGTGTAGGTGTACATGTAAAGAAAAAAGTTATATTTATGCTTGCCTTACCTCTACTTTACAGACATAAGAGGGTGAACTGCAAACAGGGGCGGACTGAAAACTCATGGGGCCCCCGAGCAATAGGAGATCATGGGGCCCCTGTGTCCTTGCCCAAACTCAAAAAAGCCTATGAAAAAGGTACCAGGGGCATCTCATGGGGCCCCCTACTGACCCCGGGCCCTTGGGCAGTGCCCGAGTTTTCAAATGGTCAGTCCGCCCCTGTCTGCAAATAAAGTTTAGGGCGTCCTTTACACTGTGTAATGGAGAGAAACAACAAACAGTTATGCATTTGCTGATGTTGTAGAGGCACCCATGCTGATCTTGTTCATTTAACTTACTAAAATGTTAAAATAAAGATTATACACAATATCTGTGTGCATTTCTTCTTTGATAGCAATTTGTATTTTCAGGTGACTCCATTATCATAATTGTGAATAATTTGGGAGGCTTATCGTGTCTGGAGTTGCAGATTGTAGCCAGTACAGTTGTGCACTTACTGGGTTAGTAAAAGAAATCTTTGACCTATCCTCTGATCATCTTTTCAGGAAAGTACTTCCGCAATTCTATTTGAGATTGATTCTTTCTTTTTAGAGAGTCGAGGGCTGCGGATAGAACGGACAATGACTGGATCTTTCATGACTGCCCTTGAAATGAGTGGTGTCTCTCTCACCTTAATGAAGACAACAGCAGAGCTTGTGCGGCTCTTTGGTAATAACAAGAATCTGTGTGTATGTGATTACTGTTGATTATAGTGCCAGAGTGATACAGTTCTGGCATTTCATTTGATTGTCTCATTTCCCGTTTTGTACTGTATTTTCTTAGATAAAGATACATCTGCTCCTGCATGGCCCCGTGTCCCATGTGTTCAAGTAACAGGTCAGACACGCACTATGCAGTGTGCTCCAGAAAATGCACAGCCTGAAAGAACAGAGCCTGGTGGTGCGTAAAGCTAACTGTGTGTTGTGTTTAGAGTGGACCAATGTGTTCATGCGTGTATACATCATTTTAAAAATAATAATTGCATATTGAGGATAAGTAGCAAAAAATGCCAAGATGTTACTGAACTCCTTAGCAGAATTTCTAAAGATCTATAGAGAATTTATTCCACTGATAGGAACCAGGAGGTTTGACTGACTAGAGACCTCTCTGTCATTGTCACATTCATCATACATATTACAGTCTGATTGTACAATCAACTTCAGGTTTACCAAAGCTATATACTATAGGCATCCCCTAAACCATGCATCAACTTGTATCCAGTCAGGGAAACCCCTGCATTACATAGTTGTTGCTACAAGGAAGATTTTATAGTCAGATTGTAACGTGTGGTAAGCTTAAGGCCCCATGTACACGGGATACTTCTGAACGATGGAAACTGACTGCTGGAAAACATAGGTTAAAAAAATGTCTGTTTATCCGCGTTTGCATAACGCGTTTATGTGCATTTATGCTCGTTTGCGTTTTAAAAGCATTTTTTTAAAGATAAGCACAGCAGAACCTCCCAAATGCACAGAATGCACTGACAGGTGGTAAATTATTAACTAATTCAGACTGTTTCAGAGAAATACAGAGAGTAGAAGCAGAGAGAGCAGTATGCGTTGAGATTAATTTAAATAAAAAAGTGCAGTGCTAAAATGAATATAATCACAATGAAATCCAAATGCAAATAAGTCTATAAGTATATAGTGAGATGAATCCAGAAATATCAGTATGCTGATGCTTGGAAGAAATGGTAGGATTGCGCACTTACCAGATGCGCATAGAATATGCGCATTAATATATCCACCTCAGGGCACTTAGGTAATGAGGTATGGTAGGTGTATGTAGAACATCCGTCTAGGAATGGGCAGCACAGCGGTCAGTGGATGATGTCTGCTTACTCCAGAGGTCCCCTTTAGAATGGATAATGGATCAATGCTTACAGGGATTCCCCTCCTCTGGATAATGGGTCAAATTTGTAATCTCCACTGGCTCTGCAAACTTAATGGCTCCATAAAGAAGCCATAAGAAAGGTGCCAATAGTGTAGTACTTCTTTAGTAAGTTTATTAAATCCAAGAACTGACAGTACAATAATGTAAATGCAGGTACACTAACCATGAGTAAAGATGGCTGCCGGACCAACACATAGCTCCAGCAGCGTGACGTCACGGATTTTGGATTTCTTCAAAGCATCAGCATACTGATATTTCTGGATTCATCTCACTAATATGTATAGACTTATTCGCATTTGGATTTCATTGTGATTATATTCATTTTAGCGCTGCACTTTATTATTTATATTGCACTTTTGGAGGTTTCATTTGGTTACCTGAGTGTATCAGCTGCTATATTGGAGAGCGCTCACTTTGTTTTGAATACAGATGTGTTGAGATTAGCTTAGGTGTGAGTTGCTCATTAACATTTCTTTTGTTTCCAAGGGTGGGAAAGGTGTCTGGTGGAGTGAGTCATTAAGACCACCTGCCAGGGGGTCTTCATGAGGAATTTAAGGTGTGAATGGTCATTAGCATATCTCTTGTTTCCAAGGGTGGGAGAGGTCTGAGGTGTGAATTGGTCATTACAATGTGTTACAAGTTTGATAGGAACATCCTGTGTTCAATGTTTTGTCCATTTGAGTACCTTGAAAACGCTTTGTATGCATTTTTCATGATGAAAAAATGCTCTGGACAGCATTGGGAACTGGAAGAGTTAACAAAAAAAAATTTTTAAACGCAAACACTTATAAATGCAATTTGCCATGTTTACAAGCATTTTGCGTTTGAAAAGCTGATAAAATCGACTGCTGAACGCAAGTTTTCTACGTTCAAAAAAAGACTGTAAACTCAAATGCATGTAAACGACTGTAAACAAAGATGTGTACATGGATACATAGGAAAACATTAGGGAGAGTTCAGGGGCTGCTGAAAAAAACGCTGAACAGCTCCTAAACGTGAGTTTATCAGCTGCAGTGTACATGAGCCCTAATGATCAGAGAACCTTCTCGCAGAGTTGATGACTGCAGAAAAGTTACACATTAAGACCCAGTAAAAAGTAACCCATTAAAAGACTGATCAGTACAAACATCTGTGTTGATATTTTTTCTGCATTGGCATTTCTTTTTGCTGTTTATTATTATTATAATTTCTGAAATAGCACATTATTGTGCCTTACAATGCTGCTAAAACACTGATTTTGCTTGTATGTTAGCCATTAACGTGCAGGTCTACCAGCGAGTGCTGAAGCATGTGTGCAGTTCCCTGTTGGTTCTAAAAGATGAGCTGAATGACTTAGACCGTGCTGCCGGGGATGGTGATTGTGGAAGCACACATGCACGGGCAGCACATGGTGAGTATTGCTGTATAACACAGATTTAATACACAGTATTGTCTTTAGTATACACAATGCTTAAATGTGGAATCTTTGCAGCTATCAGTGAGTGGATACACAGCGGAAATCTTCCCTCTCAGCCATCACGCCTCCTTGCTGCTTTGTCAAATGTATTGTTAGAGAAGATGGGTGGCACATCTGGTGCGGTAAGAGCATAAATTAGGAATGTTTGCAAGCATCTTCTTGTATTTAAACTGGTCACATAACAGATCCTTATTGTATTTCTTAAAAACTGCAACCCTTTCTGTTAGTAAACAAACCTGTCACAAACATAAGCAAATCAAACTTAACACCGCATTGAAGCTTTCCACTCAATTGGTCACTCTATAGCTGGCCAGGTGCAAAGCCCAGGTTCCCAATCCTGCTCTATGTACACGCAACATCAAACCACGGTCTGCACACCAATGATGTCACAAGAATCCAACAAGTTTAACGATGGACAGCACACACTGTAGGCCTTCCACTTTAGGTCCACCCCTCCAATGGTAGCTATGACTATGACTTTTTTACACTGGAACTTTCCGTGATGCGGACTATCTATTACTAACACTTCTCTAATGTATTTCACCCAGCCAGGGCTTAATTGTAGAGTTAGGATCTCTACAATTAAGCCGTGGTTGAGTTAAATGTGTTAGGGGGGCAGACCTAAGGTGGAAGGATACTGAAAAAAAAAAAAAAAAAAAAAAAGCGCCACTTACAAAAAACACCAAAATGTCAGCAGCATATCCCACCCAAAATAAATTTTGGCAACAATAATTAATATTAAAAGGTATGCGCTAATAACAAACTTATACAAAGGTGTATATCATCATCATCCAAAAAACATTAGTGTTTAAAATAAATAATTATAGTGTCCAAACCAGTCATTAGCTCTGGTGAGTTCATTTAATCTCCTTTGGTGGTGGATTTTTCACAATTGGTTCAAGTCACTGAAGATATATATATATTTTTTGGTAACTAATTTATGTTTGGACACTATAATTATTTATTTTAAACACTAATGTTTTTTGGATGATGATATATACCTTTGTATAAGTTTGTTATTAGCGCATACCTTTTAATTAGGACTAAGGTGGAGGATGCAGTGTGTGCCGTCCATCATTAAACTGGTCTGATTGTTGTGACATCCCTTGTCAAAATGTTGAGAAGATCCAGAGATATGAGAAGCTAAAGCTACATGCAAATTTGAACGTTTCCTGTAGATGTCAAGTGTGGCCTGTGCTCCTCTTGCTCCACCAAGCTTAATTGGCAGCCTCATTTACATACAGAGTGGCTGCAGATGCAAAAAAGAGGCAGAAGAGGGACAGACCTTATCAGTAAAAAGCAGAACCTACTTACATAATGAGCCACCTAAAACTGAAAATCTGCACAAATGAGCTTACACTATAAAGACCCTCGCTGTGCCCCAGAAGATTGGGTGTTCAGGAACTATACACCGCATAGTGAAAGAACCAAGTTGGTTTCAATCTATCATCTATCTGACACAGAGGAAATCAAAAGATAAAAAATGATAAATGACTGACACATTATTTTGTTTAATTCCCACATATTTTATAATGCCATAGCAAATAAATGTAGTTTTATGATTTATTGTATTCATTAGCAACAGTTGTCCATAATGGAGTTGTAAAATGTTATATTTTTTTTATCATACATGTAGATGTATATTTATAAATGCAACTTTTTGCTTTAGCTGTATAGTTTATTCCTGATGGCTGCAGCTAGGCCCTTGGAGAATGAAACTGGAGCAGAGGGCTGGGCAGCTGCAATGGATGCGGGGATCGAGGCCATGAAAAGGTAAAGGGCAAATATTGCAAGGCGTAAATGTCTGAGGGAACAATTGTCAGTGTGTGTGTAAAGGTCATGGTTTGTGAGCTTTAATAGAAAGCTGGAAGTACTGAAGAGATTCCATTATACTCTGATCCATCGGCAAATTTGGCAAGTAGCTGTGGGCTCCATAGACCCTAGCAACAAGTAGCTAGCTGTGTTTTAGGGAAAGTGGAACTTCATTCAGAAAGTGAAGATTTTCTATGTTATATGGAAAATGTAGAAATGGTAAAGTGGAATTGCAGTCAAAACCTCACTAACACTAAACCTACTCCCATCCCCATCCTATTCTATCTAACCCTGTAAAGAAAAGATCCCTATACTTACCTATTCTGAAGCTGCTCCTGTCTGGTCGCCAGCAGTGACTTCTGTGTGCAGAGAGAAAGCTGCCAACAGCTGGGAAATGCCTGGGAGATGACTTACTATGAGGCATCCGTTGTCGGCTGCCCCACCTCTGCACAAAAGCCACCGCTGACAGCTGAGCCTGGGACCAAACTGGAGCGGCTTCAGAATAGTTTGGTATATTAGGGATCTTTTCTTTACAGCAAGCATGTG